TTGGTCAAAGCAGAGGAGCTACAGACAGGGAGAGGGAAGGTTGAAATCCCCTTAGGGTAGAGAACAGAGGGTGACAGAAGCAGAAGCTGCCCGTAAAGGACCCAACCCTTTCCTCAAGCAAGATAAGAAAGAAAGTCATAAACTGATATCCCTTCAGCTGAGGTCACTTCCTGCTGGGTCAGGGGTTAGAAGATAAGTAGTGTGAGCAGTCTCTGTGGACACGTGAAGTCAAGTCACAGAAAATGAGCGCTCTGGAGAAGCCAATGGCACCAGGAAGCTTCTGGGAGGAAGAGATTGGTGGAAGGAGAGCACATGGAGGGGAAGGCTTTCTAGACTGAGTGTGTCACAAGACCACACCTACTACAACAAGGCCACACCTCCTATAATGCCACACCTTATGGGGCCCATTTTCTTTCAGAACATCACATTCCTCTCCCTGGCCTCCAAAGGCTCATAGCTATATCATAATGCAAAAATGCATTCAGTCCAACTTCAAAAGTCTCCATAGCATGTAACAGTTTCAAACTTACTGAAGAGTCTAAAGTTCAAAGTCTCTTCTGAGATTCATGTAATCTCTTAACTGTAATCCCTTATAAAATCCAAATCAAACAACAGGTCACATACTTGCAACACATAATGGAACAGGATATGCATTACCCTTCCAAATACAGGCAAGGAAGCATAGTGAGTAAAGACTGGACCAAAGCAAGACTGAAAACCATCTGGGAAAGCTGCATCTCCGTGTCTGATGTGAAAATGCTCTTCAAATCTCCAAGTCCATTCAGCTTTGTTCACTGTAACACACTTCTTTCTCTTGGGCTGGTTCTACTCACTGTTAGTAGCTCTCTTCATCTTTCATTCTGCCACTCTGGCATCTCCAGTATTTCCAAGGCAATCCAGGCTTCACCTTCAAAGCTTCACACACTGCTCTCTCTAGGCCTCCATTCAGGGACATCCTTAACACATGCCTGGTCTCAATGGCTTTCATTGTTCTCTGGGGCAAATTACATATCCCCTTTCTTTCTATCCGTAACTCTAAAGGCAGAACCACATGACTGAAGGTGACAAGTTCTGCTGTTTGATGGGGATAAAAAGAGCCCCATGTTCAATTACAGCTTCACCAGCTTTCTGTTTTCACCTTTACTCCCTAAGCTTGGCTGAAACTAGATCTGTAGACCAGGTTGGCCTTGAACTCATAGATCTGCCTGCCTCTGCCTCTGCAGTGCTGGTACTAAAGTTATGCACTACCACACCCAGCTCTAAGATTCTCGCTAACTCCTTCTCACAAGTTGGAAACTTAGCTGAACAGGATCTTGCTTTAGGCTCAGCACTCACTTTCTTCTATTTATTAATCTATCTAGCTCTTTAAACATGGGCTTTAGCTCCATTCCACTTCCTGGTGTTCATTTTATCCTCAAAAGCAATACTTTGAAGGCATTTCAGGAGCTGGAGAAGTAGCTGAGATTCTTGAAGGAAACAGGAAGTGGTCTGTCCCACTAGGCATGGCTTCAGCATATGTGAGACTTCAAAGCCCGCCTCCACAGTGACATACTTCCTCCTACAAGGCCACACACACTCCAACAAAGCCACACCTCGTAATAATGCCATTCCTTCTAGGGCTGTTTTTTCAAACGACCAGAGATGAGTAAGTAAACTAATAGCCACTGCATATATACTTTAAATGGTGAATCCGGACCTTAAAAACAAGGGTTTCAGATATAAATGCATCTGTCCTGACACTTGGTTTCTAAGCTTTTATCAGCATGGTCAGATGGACAAACATCCCCAGTGTCTAAGAAACACTCCCACATATGAGATCTCAGGTTGTCCTCTCCCCTCTCTGGGCACCAGGCATGTACCTGGTGCACAGAGACATACATGCAGGCAAAACATCCCAATACATAAAATATAATACTTTAATTTTAAAAATTAAAGAAGGTGGGACACCTAAGATACCAAATTAGAGGAGGTCTACTTTCCTGGGGGCCTGCAAATGCAATGTGTCCTGTCTAGGGATGGAGGACACGATGTCCTGGATTAATTTGGCTCAGTGTCTATTTCTGTCATTTTGCAAGGAGGAATCCTCCAATGGAACAGTCTGTCCTCCCCTCCCCCTGCACGGTTGGCAAAGTCTCTTGAAGCATTTGTCTAATTATTCTTTATTAATAAAACCTCAGGAATCAGATATTGAGGTAAGAACCTGGACAATCAGAAAAGTGGCAGAGAAATGACCGATGATCTTCGATCTCTCTTTCCTCGATCCAGAAAAGAATCTTTCTAAATCCTCCTCTTCTATTTCCTGTGTCTCTCTATATGTCCTTGGTCCCCCAAACCTCTTTGGCTAATTTTGGTCAATTAGTAACTAGCTCAAACCTCTGATTCAACATAAACTTTATTGGAAGTCTCTGGAGTATCAGAGTGCAATCAAAATATCACACAATAGTCCCTTCTAGAAGTTAGCATCTGAATTCTGTATGTCTACCCTAGGGTGGACTTAACAGGACACCTGGAGCAAACACCTTCACAACTGAATTCCTGGACTGAACAGAGGTTTAGGATCAACCATGGACAGCCACTGTGTGCTCTTTGCATCCTATGAACTTACTCCCATGGTACCCTGCCCACCAGAGACCCAAAGTTCCCACTAGATTTTTCTTTCTCCAGGACCCATGTGTTTCCCAACCCCCAACTGTCCCAACCAAGCAGAGGCCAGGCCTGGATGCGGTCAGGTCATTTCCTCTTCACCTAGCCTGGGGCTCTGATCATGAAGTCCATGCCCTGCAGCGAATAAAGAGGCTTCTTGGACAGGGTAGGCAGCAAAGCAGCACTCTGGGACATCAAGCCTTGAACACTGTTCTGAGAGACTGTGATATTGGCAGGTGAGGGTGTCTGGCTCAGTTCAGGATTGTGGGTCATGTAGAGGCCACCTTTAGAAGGCCCAAACTGAGTCCAGGAATGAAATTCCAGAACCTGAGATTTAGGAAAGGGATAGAGAAAAGGTGGTGTCTAGCGGATCTTTATAGAGCAGACTAGAAACCCCGGCTGGACAGTGGTAGCAACACTGATCTTATTGCTGGGGTCCTGGAGCTGTATTGATCCATCTCTGTCAGGTATAGGTGCTGCAGGGTCTTAGTGGCCTTCTCAATTGTCTTCTGTCCTGCTTCCTCTCCGGTCCTACCACCTAGCTCATTTGACTACATGTGCCCTCTACTCAAGGATCTGCAAACTAATGCCTCTTTCTTCTGGGCCCTTTTAGAGCTGCAGGCTCTACTCCAATTTAAACACTGCCCATTCCCACTTTTAAAATGGCACATGTTGACTGAGCACTCTAACTCCAAGCTTTACCATGAGCATAGTTCAAGTGCTTGGAATCAGGGTGCCAGACATCTCCCTTACCTTTAGAGAACTTACATGGTGGGGAGAACAATCAGTAAGAGAAAGGAGTGAAGAAAGTAATGGTTGGGGCAGGAGGATTATAGTCACACATCAGGGACCCTGAAGTTGTCTTGTTCCACTGAAACAGGGACAGTTGGATAACTTGAACTCACTGACAGTGATGGATAAATGGTCTTCTCAGTGGAATAAACACTATATTAAGGATTCAGATGTAAGGCTAAAGGGACATCAGGATGGACAAGTTTGTAGGGGTGGCAAAATGGTCAGAAGAGAGGACCAACCAGAGGGTAAGTCATTGAAACAAAGCAGCCCCAGCTTCCCTGAATAGCCTTGGGAGAATTATGGGTAAGTGTAAAATGACCTGGGCACTCTCTCAGGATGTTGTGTCCTTGTCTGGGGAGAAGGTAGACGTATGTATAAGTTGTGATGTTCTGAGGCTCCCTAGGGTAGGTGATCTGCATTTTCACACAGAAGAAAGCGCTCTGGAGCAAACTCCCAGTGTTCAAAGGTCATACGACAGTGAGAGCACAGTCATGGGATGTGCAGGGACTCAGATTTCCATTAGGGTGTTAGGAGCAGTCAGTTAGTCTGGGTCAAGCTGTCCATTCACCAGGGACTGAGGCATGCTCAATAGAGAAGCAGCCTGGATGGCATTGGCTGATGAAGGCCACTTGAGCAGCAGCCACTGCAGGTGGATGCCCCCTGCTGCACAGCAGAGCTGATGACACCAGATTGTCTTAGGGTCTCATTCAGCATCTCAGGGTCTTTCCCGCAGCAACTGCAAATATGGAGACACTGTCTACTGCACATCTGGACATTTCATAGGAGTCTTCACAGGCACACACAGAACGCAGCTATGCTGAAGCCTGGCCAGAAGATCTGGATGCTCATGGCTGGTTTTTTACTTTCCTTTTTCTTTTATCTCTTTTATTCATCCTTGACCTCACCATCTTCATAGAGAGAAACTGGACTGTATGGAAGAAGACTAGAGTCCCCCTCTCTCAGCTGTGTCCTGTGTGTGCAGACATGATGAGCTGACCTTCTACCCATGCAGATGGGACAAGCACTAGTTGAATCTGTTGCCATGACTACACTTAGATAATAACCTTAAAATTGGAAGGACTGTGACTAAGAATACAATTTAAAATTCAATTTTAAGTACTTAGGAGTTTTGAAATGAGAACCAAGAGTAGAGTCCCAGATTTCCCTGAGTCAGATCAGGGAATCATCAGTGCTGTGCTGAGTACCATTTCTCCTTTGCCTCCAGACTCTGCATCATGAACACTCTGTCTGAAGCAAACGGCACCTTTGCCATCCACCTTTTAAAGATCCTTTGTCAAAACAACCCTTCAAAAAATGTATGTTACTCTCCCGTGAGCATCTCCTCTGCTCTAGCTATGGTCCTCTTGGGGGCGAAGAGAAACACTGCACTCCAGATATCTCAGGTAAGTTCCCTGTCACCTGACACCTGCTTCACTTGCCTAAAAGTTGCTGAGAAGGAAGGGTCAGAAAATTCACACACTGTTTCATGGGCCAGGGGATGAAGAGGCATTAAGAAAAAGTCTCCTATTGGTGTAGGAGGTCCTTCTGTATTTGTGTTGTTCTCATTGGTTGAATAAAGAAATTGCCTTGGCCTTTTGATAGGGAAGAACTTAGGTAGGCGTGGAAATGAAAACTGAAGGCTGGGAGGAAAAATGCAATCAGAGAGAGAGAGAGAGAGAGAGAGAGAGAGAGAGAGAGAGAGGCCATGAATCTCCTGCCTGAGACTGACGCAAGTTAGAATCTTGCCGGTAAGCCACAGTCACATGGTGATACACAGATTTAATAGAAATGGGTTAATTAAGATGTGAGAGTTAGCCAATAGGAGGCTAGAGCTAATGGGCCCGGCAGTGATTTAATTAATACAATTTCTGTGTGGTTATTTTGGGTATAAGCTAGCCGGGCAGCAGGACGCAGCCTGCCACTCCTCATGTTACATCCTATAGTGAGACTTACTTATTTATTTATTATTTCTGTACCTTGGTGTTTTGCTTGAATGTATCTGTATGAGAGCATCAGATACCATGGAACAAGTGTTACAAACAATTGTGAGCTTCCCTGTGTGAACTGGGAA